GATCTGTGCACATTCACGGAAAGAAAACCAATCTCACAGTGTAATTATCGGCAGAAACATTATCATTTTTTTAACTTACAGATTGAATGATACAAACTTGCCCTTCAAACACCAACTTCATTACCATTCTTACATAAATTTGACTTTAAAATCAACTTGTAAACGGCGATTATATAACAAATTAAATTAATTTCACATTATAAATAGATAGGAAAAAAGGCATTTAATTATATACAGAGTCTTCTAGGAAATACCCAGATATAAACCACAGTTGGTTAAGATGGAAAGGTATACCAGGAATGTATTAAACACGTGAATTACTTGTAATAGAAACGAATTAATGATATACCAGAGGAATGGGTGAAACATGTATTACTTGTAATTGAAATAAATGAATGGTATACCAGGAATTGGCTAAACATGGATTACTTGTAATAGAAATGTATTAATGGTATACCAGGAATTGGCTAAACATGTATTACTTGTAATAGAAATAAATGAATGGTATACAGGGAATTGGCTAAACATGGATTACTTGTAATAGAAATAAATAAATGGTGTACCAGGAATGTGCGAAACATGGATTATTTGTAATAGAAATAGATGAATGGTATACCAGGAATGGGTGAAACACGTGAATTTACTTGTAATAGAAATGTAAATGGCTATACTTTTTAAGATTAAATGATATTAGGTTAACATTATGCTTATTTTATTCAATCCAGAAGACCTTTACGACATGTATTGTTCTTTTACAGGTATATAGCTAGCTAATTGAGAAATATAAGGACAATATATGGATATATATTCTAAAATTATTTACATATAATCACTGATTTCTTTATATTCTAACTTAGTATGGTATGTCTATATTTGGAAAATGAGGAGAGAAATATGGATATATATTGTAGCGTAGAAATCAAGTCTTTGTATATCTGGAGGTGTCAAAGTATTTATTGATGATGTCACTGTGACTAGTCGACAATTATTAACAAACCAACACAACAATCTACAGCTAGAGAATATCGAGCAAGCAAGCTAGGCAACTAAATTAATAATGTTTTTACAAATGTAAAATTTTAAACGTTTCGAATATTTTCGTTGAATAATTAAATAATAAATTATTTATTCGCCACAATATGTATATTATGTAATTAAACAATTAAAAAGGTTTCTGGAGATGAGTTTATTTTTATTTTAAATACTATCTCAAGTTTTCAGCCATCTCTGCCCTTCTACGGGAGAACTTATATAATGAATAAAACACCGCCTGATGCCAAAAAAAGCTTGAGACGATTTTAAAATAAGAAGAAATTCATCTCTGGAATTATTTTTTTAATTGTTTAATTATAATATCCCGGAGATTTACCAGGTCTATTAGTATGAAACGCGAAAATTTTCAGTGAATTCAAAAGTCCATACAACAAAAGATTTTTTATTCAAAGTAATTGCCCTGATTAGCTATACCCACGGACCACCTTTCAAGCCATTTTCGAATTCCTTGTCTGAAAAATTATATTCCTTTTGAGTCGAACCAGTCAACAAGCCATTTTCGGAGTATGTAAATCAATTGATGTATATTATGTACCAGAAGTAGCAATTATCCCTTCAGCTATGCATTAAAACAATGCAATTAGTTCATCAACCAAGTACAAAAGGTAATGGTGATGATAAAACAATGAGCCATAACACTAACTGTTCCAAATTCAGATGAATAGCCAACCTGTATACCAAGGTTTCAGGCTATGGCCCTGATTAGTACAAGGGAGGCTTCGATTTCATAACATACCTACGAAAGGAGTTTTGAAATCGGTCTCGAAAAGGTATATTTTGTGTGTATATATATATATATATATTATCTTTGTCATCCTTTCTACAATCTTAAGCCGCATTATATTGTATTATAAATTACTTTATATAATATTTACGAACGGAAAAATATGTCCAGGGTAGCCTAGTGGACATGGCATCTGCCTGGTAAGCGGAACACTGTGGGTTCAATTCCTGAACACTTTTATTTTTCCCTTTATCATTACTCTTTACAATTCATCCTTTCATACTTTATCCCTAAGGTTAGAAATAATCGTTATTTCTCTTTAAAGTAAATTTCGATTTTTCGTTTAAAAGAAACACATGCGGGATAATTTTCAAGTCATCCTTTCTTTATTCTTGTAAATGCAGAGGTATTTTAGTTTCTAAAAGAAAATTTCACATTGTTAATGTTAATTTTATTTGTATTTTATATATCTTAAAAGTTTATATTTAAATAATATTAGCACATATACAGTACAACTTGGATTATTCGAAAACCTTTAATTCGAATATTTATCTTGGTCCTTAGAATTTCCTATAAATAGAATTTCTGTTTTTATTTCGAATTTTTGGATAATTCGATTTTTTTTTTGGTCTTTTGGGCTTCGAATTTCCAAGAGTTAAACTGTATATCATTCTTATACGTATCTTAATTATATTGCTATAAACATATGGAAGTAAATAAATGCTCGATAGATTACTTCGTTTCAAATCAAGAAACCTATAGCTAACCGTATACCAGTTTATTCGATATATTGTTCAGCAAAGTAAAATTCTCTGCAATAGCTAAAAAGGAAAAAAAAACCAAAACGCTAGCTTTCAAGCGATAATCGCTCTTCAACGGGCTTAATAAAACATCGATTATATCTTACAAGAAATATTTACAAAAACATCGGTTCTTGTAGGATATAGTCGATGTTTTATTAAGCCCGTTGAAGAGAGATTATCACTTGAAAGCTAGCGTTTTATATTAAAAAGAAACTCATTGTCAGAATTTTTTTTTTTTGTAATTTTAAAACGTTTTTCACAAATTTATCATGAATAAACAAGACGGCTTCCAAGGATGAGTATTTTATTTTATTTTAAATTCTTCTCAATCTTTCTGCTACAACAAACTCTTATATAGGTGTATTTGATCTTATAATAGAATCGTAAGCTTCTGTAGGAGGGTATGTGATATATGAAAGCTTGAGAAGAATGTAATATTAAAAGATATCTATAAACATAAGGAATGGCGATAATAAATTTCCGATAAATTGCTTCGTTTCAAATAAAGAAACCTTTTATTAACCTAATCCCAGTTTATTCAATTTAGTACACCCATACCTCGCTTTGCGTCGGGGTTACGTTCCAAAAAAACACGACCTAAATTGAAACGACGCAAAGTGAGAATATGTGAAGGCGCAATCAAAAACAAAGGTGTTGCCATATTTTAGGAAACATTAAAAAAAAAATAAAGACTCGAATCCTAAACAACGCAACTTCGAAAATCTAACGACGCACAGTGAAAATCAGTAAAAATTAAGCAGCGACGCAACTTCGAAAAAAAACGCAAAACGAAACGACGCAAAGCGAGGTATTGGTGTACTTGTTTAGGAAAGTAAAATCTCTGCAATACATATAAATGATAGATAAAACGCTTCGTAGAGAAAGCGAGAGGTTGAGTTACTTATTTTATTTTATATATCACACACTTAAAGCTTTATTAAGACCGCCGGTCTTATACAGATTCACCATAGGAAGAAATAATAGATGGAGCTCCTATACTCCAAGCAGCGCAGCACCCAACAACAACCTATAGGTCCGACGCATGTCCAATGGCCACACGTTCCTTCGTGCATACGTCATGGTTAGCGAATCACTGAACAGGCTAGTGTGGAATCAGCCGTGTTCTAGTATTCGCTTTCCTCATCCAAATGGACCACGGCATTCGGTGATTCAATTAATCTCCTCCGGTTTTATTTTATATATGAATGTAACATTTCCTATTTAGAAATAAGGGATAGTCACAATACTTTGTGCTTCAATTTTTAATTTCATTACAACAAGGTTAACCAAAATATAATAAACAAATAATAACTAATGGAAAATTAGAGAAAGAAAGAGATTATAGTGTTGCCGACTACCTAACTATGAAGAAAAATCAAAGAATAATTCAATATTTTACCTAAATAAATACAAAGCATGTTACAACATTCTTCAGGGTGGGAGAAGTTCGACCACACATATCCGACCTGCGGTCCCCCCTGGACCCTTGGAATATTTGACCAAATCCTTGTTCGTTTCCAAGGTGACTAACGTGGCAACGGCACCCATTTTCTAATGAAGATAGAGAACATTGCTGCTGCTGTGATAGAGATGCATGGAGACATCTGAGGTTCTTCATTGGACACGACAACAACAGAAAATTGACATGGACCCAGAGCAGCAGCTTTACACACCCAAGATAGTGGACATTGCTGTGATAGAGATGTATGGGGACATCTGAGGCTCTTCATTGGACACGATAACAACAGAAAATTGACATGGACCCAGAGCAGCAGCTTTACACACCCAAGATAGTGGACATTGCTGTGATAGAGATGTATGGGGACATCTGAGGCTCTTCATTGGACACGATAACAACAACATTCTTCTAAAACTTTCGGCTATTACAAACCCTCCTACAGAAGTATATGATCCTATATAAGATCATATACTTCTGTAAAAGGGTTTATTATTGCCGAAAGCTTGTGATAAATACAAAATAAAACAAAAAAAAACTATTCTCGGAAGCTGTCTTGTTTATTATATTCAGGGGTAAAGTTTTCAACTAGCAATAATCGCGCCTCGGAAGATCCTCATGGGCTACGATATCGCCTCTGCGCAAAGCTTTATTATATTCAGGGTGGTCCATAAGTATCGATCCCTTCTATTTATTATTAAAAATAAAATGCTAACTAGAATAAAAAAAACTTTAACTATACTATTTCAGGTAATCGATTAAGCTTTAATCCGAACAATTTTTAACGCCAAATTCTTTATTTTTATTTACTTCTCCTGACAAAGACAAAAGATTTTTGTCGTAACGTTATAATAATAAAAGGGTTCAAGGCTCACGGGTCACCTTGAATATGTATTACATGTTTTTACTTTTACTAAAACAGACAAGGTGATGATGGGACACACCTCTAATTGATATGGGTAATAAGAAAGAATGTAAGTTAATAAGCAATCAATTATGGAATATAAATTTCAAAATTAAAATTGATGAGATTGCTCCGTTTGATGATCATTTATAAATTTTGTTTTGGAATCTGTTTATAGGCCTCTACTTGAATTTGGTTTTAGTTTTGTTTTGAATTCTTGAAGATCAACGTTTCTCAACCTTTTATGGGTTTTATACCTTTTATACCAGTAAAATTGGTGGGGAAAATTCGTATGGCCGTTGTATTTTTTATGAAAAAAAAATTTTTTTAGATATTGAATAGATAAATCATAAAATTATAATTATTTTCATCTAAATTCTATAAGTAAGGTATTAATGTATAAAAAAGTTTAGATCTTTTTTTTTTTAATAAAAGACACTTCGGCCGGAAAAGTTTCACGCTTTCGACGTTTCGATAAAAATCTTTTGCCCTCGACAGGCAAAATTAATGTACATTAGAACCTCCCTGAGAGGACACTCGCGCTAGAGGACACCTCTCTACAAAGGACAGTTTTCATTTGAAAAATTACCATTTTTACTATTTGACAACTCTCCAATAAGAGGACAACTCTCCCTAAAGGACACTTTGGCTCTGCAATTAGGTGTCCTTTGCAGAGAGGTTCTAGTGTATTACTTGATTGTGAATATGCTTGTAACTGCTGCTTAAGTACACGTGATGCAGGACATGCTAATCATGTTGAGTAGGATTTTAGATTGCTTTTACAGTCTATCACATGTCTACATATGTAAAGAACAGTTAGAATTTCACATTTACAGAATGTATCAAGATATACAGGCTTAATATCCTAATATGATTGAAAGGAGATATAAGAAAGAAAAAGACTTACAAAGACGAAAGAGGTAGATTTTACTTCCAATAATAAATCCGAAAATTTAATTATATATGGTTTAACTATGTGTGTGCAACCATACCTCACTACGACATTGTTATCGATTAACAACACATTCTATGATTTAAAATCATATGGTATACATTTAGAATTTGGCGCAACTTTGGCGAAATTTCACCGAATAGAAAATGTTTAATTAGTTTAAAAGATCTCTATGCCATAACTTTAATATTCAGATCTTAAGGCGAATTTTCTTCTCAATTTCATTATGGGCCACTCTTTTTTTATTATTATCCCTAGTACACGTGGTACAGGCCATGATAATCATGGTGGGTAGTTAGCGACTGCTTTTACTGTAAGCGCACCGCATGTCTACACATGTGAAAAGCAGTTCGACTTTGCACTTAAAATGTGCCAGAGCCCCGTTTGGTTACTTGCATTCGCTGATGGGGTTGGACTTTTGCAAGAATCGGGGGTCATTGGAGCATTTTTTTTAAACAGAAAAAAGTGTCCAATGCGGGGATCGAACCCGGGTCGTAGTGGTCGTAAACCAAACGGTTTAACCAGCCTTCCACCGACCTCCCCAAGGGCCACTCTGAATATAATAAACAAGACAGCTTTCGAGAATGAGTACCTTGTTTTATTTTGTATTTATCACAAGCTTTCAGGTATCACAAACCCTTCTATTGAAGTGTATGATCCTATATAAGATCGTATAATCCTATAGAAAGGTTTGTAAAAACCAAAAGTTTGAGAAGAATATAAATATAGTTTAAAATAATTATTATTAAAATATGAATGGAATTGGACTCTTAAAAAGAGAGAATCGTACAATGTTCTTGTAAGTTATCAGATCCATGACAGTGAAAAAGCAGACGATGTCACTAATTCTAGCTTACTAGTTTGCAAATATGGCCGACAGATGGTTTGGCGTCAATAGGAGAGGTCTAATCTTTTCTTCTTTTTTTCTTTGTATGATCAGCTTCCTGATGGCCAAATTACCATCAAAAGAAATTACTCATTTGAATTAGAAAGGGGAAATAAAACACGCAAATTATTTATTAATGTCTTTCTAGAAATATTCTTTCTATAATGGAACTTGGTTTCTTATGCAGATATGTGCAGCTTTTTTAAAAAAGGGTTTCATCATTATTATTATTTTC